GAATGTTTTACTAAAAGAATGTTATTTTCCAAATAAATCAACGTTTCTCATGATTTTTAAATAATTGGCGTACCATTTTTTTCATAAAAAATATCGAAGTCAATAGCCGTACGCACGCCATTGTTAAAGCTAAAAATTATTTTTGCATTGAAAAATATGCAACTTCATTAACTTTCACTACGTACTAAATATCAATAAAATGTCTGAAGCGGTTCTGAAAATATTAATAAATTTCCATTTTTTTTCCTAAAACTTCAACACCCCGTGTTTTTGTAAGGAAACATTTTTGGACCATAGTTTGTAAAGCAAACTAACATTAATTTTTCACACCCTTAAATATTCGCATATCATTAAGGAACACCCCGTATAACTCGGAAAGTAAAAATGGAAAAGCTTTGTAGTTTTTGACAATAGATCCCGTAGCGGCGGAGTTGGGGGCAAAACTCAAAAAATGAGATTAATTTCCAGAATAAAGATTGTAACGAACTCCTGTCTTGATTCGGGCCTAAAGTTCGTCGTCGATTGGAATTTCTTCCTAAGGTTTCGCTAGCACGAGTGGCAAGCATCTTCAGAGGTCCTTCCATTTCGGATGCTGGATGTAGACGGACGATTTCACACACACACCCTCCTACCCTGTGCGGTCCCTTCACCTCCACTGTTCCAGGCAACCTCAAACCCTTGAGGAGTGGGGGGAAGAGCAATCTGCTCCTCCCTCTTCTCCCGCCCGAAGGCCTGGCGTGGCGCTGCGTAGTTCAGGCCGCTGCGCATTCCCCGAGTGTGTGCTGCCGAACGAGCTAACCCCCCTCCCCAATTTTGCCCCTTTTTCCCGAAATTTGACTCGATCGCGCACGCGTCGCGGAAGCACGTGGTGGACGTTTCATCCAACTGTCGGTTCTCGACTTTTATGGACGGCCTCTTTCTTGGGGGTCCTGCGCTGGGGGCTTTGACCTAAGCCCCGCATTTAGGTTGGTGACCCTTCGCTCTTTCCTCGTCGACTGGAGTCAGTCAGTCGTCTTCGTCTCCTGAGGTTAGCCCCGAGTCCGTGCTTGACTCTGGCCACCTCAATCGACAGGCTTATTTTTGTCCACCCGTTGTACACGGGCTGTTCTTTCCCCTCTTGGGTGTACAACTATTGTCGGTCTTCTCCCCTTGTCTTTGGCCTCATCAGCTGCTAGGGCCAAATTTCCTCTTGTTGCAGCTGGCTTTTCGGTCTTTTATGACGCCTTATTGTTCTTGGGTCGTAATCCAAGGCGTCTGTAATCAGCACATTTCGATGTCTTTCGTTCTTTTCAAAGAAGTTTCGGGCCCTCTCTCTCATCTGTCGTAGTTCGTCATATAGCACTCTGTTAGGTACATACCACGGTGCGTCCACCGCCTCACGGAGTGCTATGTTTTGTTGAGCTTGGAACCTCTTCTTCATCGTTTTGGAAACGTAGCCCCAAGCTACTGCTGCGTAAGTCATGATGGTCTTATTCTTTAAGGACACTTTGCTTCTTCTGTCTATTAAAGGTCTTAGTTTGGAGCGTGCCATCTTCACTTTCTGCACCTGGCCCTCGACTTGGTTCTTCCAAGTGAGTTTTTGGTCCATCTTGACTCCACGGTATGTGCTCGAGTCCTTCCAGTGGACCTCAACTTCTTCGTCTCTTCTCCAGCCTCTCTCCATTCTGGTGGTCGTCATCTTTACTTTGGTTTGACGTAATCTTCGATTTCTTCGGAACAGTACCGCGTCGGTCTTCTCAGGGTTGAGACGGATCTTCCACTTGATGCACCATTCCTCTAGGTTGGTAGTCGCTCGTTGCAGATATTCGGTAACCATGCGGGGTCTCGTACTTTCTGCCGCATATGCTGTATCGTCCGCATACACATACAGTTGCGTTTGTGGAGTCTTCGGGATGTCTGAACTGTAGATTGCATACAGCAGGGGTGATAGAGCCGCTCCCTGTGGTACTCCTGCCTCCACAGTCCTCGTCGTCGAAGGACGATTTCACTTGCGCAGATTGTATTTATACCGGAGGGTAGGGGGCGAGGCTTGTTCCGCTTCGGTTGACTTCGGGATGTCGATCGGCACTGCTCAGGCGTTTCTGAGGATCGGGTTGAGTCCGAGGGTCTCTTCCTTCCTGTTGAAGTTATCTGGATGTTTGTGAATCTCGATAGCTTCCCTGGCCAGTCTATTGCGATAGCCGTTGACTGATGACAGCAACCTGCAGCTCCCAAAGTCTATCCTGTGGTCCCCATTGCTTAGTGCATGTTCAGCTACCGCAGACTTCTCAGTTTGTCCTAGCCGGCAATTTGCTTTGTGTTCCTTGAGTCTCGTTCCCATTGATCTTTTCGTGGTTCCAATGTATACTTTGCCGCATGAACACGGTATGCGGTAGACTCCTGCAGTTGAGAGCGGGTCCTTCTTGTCCTTTGCCGATCTAATGGTTTGTTCTCTTCAGGACTCTGCCAATCCTGTCCGTGACTCTTGGCACAAATGGAAGACACGCTTGAGAGGAGTGGGACGCTGTTCGGTTTCACGTGGCCTGGCTGATCTCGAGCCCATTGATCTTTCGATGTCCCGCTTGCTGTTGCCATTTGCTTCGAACGCAGGTTTCAACTTCTGTCTGGAGGTTCTTCGGTTCGCAAATGCTTCGAGCTCGTTCTGTCAGGGTTCTGATGAATCCATACTTCTGACTTGGGTGATGATTGGACAAAGCGTGCAGGTATCTGTCTGTGTGCGTTGGTTTCCTGTACACTGTGTGACCTCGCTTCCTGACTAGTATGCCCAAGAAGGCCAGTTGTTGGTCACTCTCTATCTCCATGGTAAATTGTATGCTTGGATGTCGATCGTTGTGGTGCTGCAGAAACTCGTTTAGCCTGTCCGTGCCATGTTTCCAAATCACTAACGTGTCGTCCACCAACCGGAACCAAATTGTTGGTTTGTTCTTCGATGTCTCAACCGCCTTCTTCTCAAAGTGTTCCATAAAAAGGTTGGCTATGACTGGGCTAAGTGGACTGCCTATTGCCACTCCGTCTGTCTGCCCATCCCATTCGAAGTAGCTTCCAGTGAGACAGATTTCAAAGAGCTTGCAGATATCAGAAGGGAAGATCCTGCTCACCAGACCCAGGCATTCCCTCAGCTGTTGAGACTTGGGGCTTGTGGGTTGTAGCAGCTCGCGGGTTGTAGATCTCAGTTAAAGACGTGCTATTATCAAGAAGCTTCTGATCCCGACACAGGAGATTCAAACAACCCGACGCATCTCTTAAATGCGATCACGACGACGCGTTGCAACAGTGTCAACTTTGCAAGAAGCGGCAGGGAGTTCCTTGAACGTCGCCGCGCGACTGCACGCTAAATATTGACTCCAAGTTAGTGTCTTCCTTCTGGTGGTGTCTCAGGCAAATACGTTCGGTGCATAGATGTCAAGGCGTAATTGCATTGCTTACGTAGTTGCCGGATCACAAACGGCGATACACCCGCAGGCTTCCGGTATATGTGCGTCCATTTTAGCATTTCCACTCATGATCATTTTCAATCTCTCTCTGAAAAATAATCACTTTCCATCTATTTGGAAGTTGTCTAGGGTAACACCTGTTTTTAAAAAAGGTGAGAGGAATTGTGTAGAAAACTATCGGGCTATCACAATTATCAGTAATTTCGCTAAAACATTCGAAATAGTGATACAAACTGTGCTATATTTTCATGTAAGCAGGTCTATCTCCGTCAGTCAACACGGTTTCATGAAGGGCAGGTCCACAGTTACTAACCTGCTACATCTTACTCAATATGATTGTGAATCAATCGATAGACAACTTCAAACGGATGTAATATATACTGATTTCTCTAAAGCGTTTGATAGTTTAGACCATAACATTCTACTCAATAAATTATCTAGATTTGGTCTTTCAGATGCATTGTTGCTATTTTTCAGATCTTATTTATGTCATAGGAAACAATATGTTATGTGCAATGGACATAAGTCAAGCGAATACCCTGTAATGTTCGATGTTCCTCAAGGATCTAATTTGGGACCTCTGTTATTTATTATGTTCATAAATGATATTTCTGAAGTTATCGATGTCGATTTTCTTATATATGCTGACGATATGAAACTTTTCTGTAGAGTCTCCAACATTGACGATTGTCATCGTTTGCAACGCAACATCGTAAGGGTTGACAACTGGTGTGGTGAAAACAGACTTGTTTTGAATGCTGCTAAGTGTCACGTTTTGTCGTTTACTTTAAAAACAGGGGTAATGATGTATGAATATAGTATTGGTGACAGGAAACTTGACAGACCTAGTACAATTAATGACTTGGGAGTCACATTTGACAGAAAACTTTCCTTATCCTATCACATTCAAAATGCTGTTGTGGCTGCATAAAAGGCGTATGGTTTTATTGTAAGAAATACCGGTGATTTACACAACTGGTTTACACTGAAAATACTGTACTATGCTTATGTAAGATCTAAGCTTGAGTATACGTCCCTGGTATGGTATCCTCATCATCAAATATATATTGACCGGTTAAAGAAAGTTTTTAAAATACCTCTCATACAAAGCTGACGGGATATATCCCGCTATTGGCTTTCGTCATAGTGAGTTGATGGCGAGACACAAAATCTATAATTTAGAGAGCAGACGCAAAATGAATTCACTTAAGTTCATTCACAAGCTCATCCACGGCATTATTGACTCCAGTGTCATCTTAGAACAACTTAACTTCTTAATTCCTAGATTAGCGTCACGAACTAGTTTAACTTTTTACTTAGCCAGGCCTAGGACTGACATACTTAAGTTTCCCCCTATATACATAATGTGCCGTAATTATAATTCAGTTAATGGCGTTTTAGATATATTTTCGTTTTGTGCGACTTTGGGAGACATTAATCCTTATTTTCGTTAGTGCTTGCCGGTGTAATTGTTGAGTGCTGGGTAGGTAAAGCTAGAACGTTTTTTTTTCTTCCCAGTTCTGTTTTGAGGTTTTTTTTTGCAGCGTTTTAGCTTTCTCTACATACATCCACAACATGCATTTGTTTATAGTTTCATGTTTATCCATCCTGTAATTGGCTATGGCTGTTGGATGTTGCTAAATAAATAAATAAAATAAATAAATAAATATGCTTGGTAGATTCATTCGGATGCCAATCTTTATTTGGGGTGTCCCAATATTCCGTGGACGAGAGTTAACCGAAGATGATTTCGATAGGCGTGTTAAGTTTCGTGAATAAATGACTAGCGATTAATGATAATACGATTCTTGTAAAGAATATCTGCTTCAGTGATGAATGCACATTTTATCTAAATCAGAGTTCCCCAAACTGTTTAGTGTCGTAGCCCACTTGCCATGCTTTTCCATGTTGGGTAGACCCCTGCTTACCTGATATTGATTTTCTGTAAATTTCTAACTGTAGTGAAGTTTGGTGTTAAAAACTTAATGTAAAAACACATGTTAATTTATACATTTATTAATTGAATTTAAATTAAAACTACTCAAAATAAAATTTTGTATCTGTTATGTAAAATATAGGTAACATTAAATAAACAGGTGTCTGACCAATAAGTGCCCGCATTGAAAAAAAAAATAAGAGGGATAAAATAAAAAAGACGAAAAATAATAAAAAAAAGTTTTTTACTTAAAATAGTACAATAAGCGAGTTCTTTTATTAATTATAACATAAACGTATGTTCTACAATAATTTCACTGTTAGTTTGATTAAATTCCGCAGTTCTTCGTAGATTTCTTGATTCATAATAAAACGAACATATGCCAATAATAATGCTGCATTATCAGGTAAAGTTGGCTCGTCCAGTTGTATAGAGAAATTGGTCGTTTGCAAATAATTACATAAGAAGCTTTCAATATCAGAACTCATTTCATCAATACGTCTTTCAACAGTATTGTTGCTTAAGGGAATTCTTTTAATGATATCAGATGCAGGTTTGTGTAAAACAGTTTTTAAAACCTCTTATACGGCTGGCAAGATTAGCTTCTCTCCGATAGTATGCGGTTTTCCGGATTTTGCTATAAGTAACGAGATATTGTAAGACGCCTGCAAACCATCATCATTTCTTTGTGACGTCGAAGCGAACATTCTGTCTTTAAGGACACTTTGTTTCTTCTGCCTATTAAAGATCTTAGTTTGGAGCGTGCCATCTTCACTTTCTGCACCTGGCCCTCGACTTGGTACTTCCAAGTCAGTTTTTGGTCCATCTTGACTCCAACGTATGTGCTGGAGTCCTTCCAGTCAACCTCAACTTCTTCGTCTCTTCTCCAGCCTCTCTCCATTCTGGTGGTCGTCATCTTTATTTTGGTTTGAGGTAATTTTCAATTTCTTCGGAACAGTACTGCTTCGGTCTTCTCAGGGTTGAGACGGATCTTCCACTTGATTATTTAATTATAACATAAACGTATGTTCTACAATAATTTCACTGTTAGTTTGATTAAATTCCGCAGTTCTTCGTAGATTTCTTGATTCATAATAAAACGAACATATGCCAATAATAATGCTGCATTATCAGGTAAAGTTGACTCGTCCAGTTGTATAGAGAAATGGGTCGTTTGCAAATAATTACATAAGAAGCTTTCATCAATACGTCTTTCAACAGTATTGTTTCTTAAGGGAATTCTTTTAATGATATCAGATGCAGGTTTGTGTAAAACAGTTTTTAAAACCTCTTCAACGGCTGGCAAAATTAACTTCTCTCCGATAGTATGCAGTTTTCCGGATTTTGCTATAAGTAACGAGATATTGTAAGACGCCCGCAAACCATCATCATTTCTTTGTGACGTCGAAGCGAACATTCTGTCCAGTGTAGGTCTCTTCTGAAATTTATCTTTGAGTGTTTGAAAGTATTTCAAATCTTTCTCTGTTTTATCAGGGTGGCATCTTCTCAGATGATCTAGTCCAAAATGTATTGCGACCACAAAGCGAATACCAACATCCTACAACTTACACAATTTTACAAACATATATAATACATTTTTTACTTCATAGGTATTTTTATAAATAATGTATATGTTTTGATGTTCTAAGATAGTATGATGTAAGTAAATAGGTACTATCAGTGTATGTGTTGAGATCCACTATCGTGGACCCCCATATTCATTTCATGGACCCCCAAATTTGTTTTCGCTGACGTAGACCCCTTGCAGGTTGTCATAGACCCCTAGGCGTCGATATAGACCACTTTGGGAATCAATGATCTAAATGGATTCGTTAATAAGCATAACAGCAGATATTGGAGCAATGAGTGTTTGGTTAGAAAGTTGTCCCATTTGACGTGTTTCGGCGTTTTTCGATACATTTGTGGTGAGAAGTTTTCAAATGACGACCTTGTATAAGAGCAATGAACATCTTTACTGAGGCCTATTTATCAGACTTGACCAATGAGTATGTACCTTCAGTAACGCTAGAACCGGCTTTTTTACACAATACACACTCGAATGGTATGATTTATCAGTTCACTGACTTTCTTCTTCCAGCATTCGATTGTGAGCTATAATTTACCTCGACTGTAGTAATAAAGGGCGACTTCCTCCGTAGGTCCAATCAGGGTGAATTTAGTCCATGAAAACCCTCTACAGCTCCATTTTCACAATAATTACGGTCCTTTTAAAAAAGATATTCAAGCGTTTTACTCTACGACCTGTCTTCAAAGGCCGCTATTCATTGTCGGTGTCCGGAAAACTCCTTTTGTCCTCGCATCGATAACAAGGTTACATTACGCTCTTGCTTATTCTCTATGAAACTTTTTTAAATTGACGCCTTTGAATCTTGGATAGATATTTCGAAAAGAATGCTTGAAGGCAATACGTCAAAATAGCTAGTTCGTTGTTTCATTTCTTACGGCAGGGGGCGAGGAAGTATTGTGACCGCAAGAAATTTAGAAAATGGGGTGTATTTTGGATTATACAGGGTGGCGCATCGAAAACGAAACGGACGCATTTACTGGCAGCTATAAATCTTCAAAACTACTGAACTGAAGCTCATGTATTTTCATCATTATAAAGGGAATTTGAAAGGCCTTTAAAATAAGGTATCACTCGACCTCCCCTTTCCATTTAAGATTTTAGGGTTGGTGTTACCCCCGCCCAGGGGGCTGCACGTGTTAACGTGATTTTTTGCCAAACTTGTATCCCCCTCGAAAACAAAATCGACGGGTCTGAGCATATTTCCAAAAAAAAAACCTGAGCTGCCAGTACATGCGTCTGTTTCGTTTTCGATGCGCCACCCTGTATATAACACTGATAATTCGCAACTTAACATGTGTGAAGAGATTCATGACTTAGGTATATTCTGTGATACCAAACTTACATTTGTTTCGCATATTGATGCTGTTGTTAGCAAGGCATATAAAAGTTTGGGCTTCATTATCAGGAATTGTAGGGGTTTCAATCACTGATCAACAGCCAAAAAGTATCCTAAATAAAATCAACAAAATATTACTATTTTTAATGTGCTAAAACCGGAATGAAACTTATTTTTTCAATATTAGTTCAAGTTTTAGAGATACGGTAATTATATGTGTTCCTGCTGTGACAGTGTTAATATACTGTAATTCACAAGAATGCACGTGCTACATTTTTATATTCGGCAAGGAAAGATGATGTAATCGGCATGATTATGTTACGTTAAACATACGTGTACATTATATTGTTTTATATTAGCCATTTTTTCCTCAGTTGGCTGACAGCGTTCATGCAAGATGTCTCGAAAGTGTGTAAACAATCCAGATCAGTTTTGTTACGTGTGTGGTGATGTGACTTATGCGTCTCAGAGACGGTCTATTACTCCACTAATAACAAAGGCATATCAGCTTTATTTCGGTTGTAAACTAGGTGATCAAGACAAACAGTGGGCACCCCACATCTGCTGTAATACATGTGCTTCAAGTCTGAGGAGCTGGTTAAATGGCGAAAAACGGTCTATGCGCTTTGCTGTCCCAATGGTTTGGAGAGAGCCTACAAATCATATTAATGATTGTTACTTTTGCATGGTACCTTGTGTTGGACAAGCCACAGGTATGTCCAAGAAAAAAAAACGGTTATTAACTACCCAAACATACCATCTGCGATGAGACCTGTGCCTCACAGTGACGAAAATCCTATTCCAAAACCCCCAGAATCCTACACTTGCGAATCAGAAAACGGATCAGATCATGGCGATCGAGTAGAAGATATGCCATCAACGTCAAGAGATCCTAATTTTATACCGAGCACGTCATGCCACCAACCGCACAAAATAACACAGTCAGAATTAAATGATCTTGTAAGAGATTTAGAACTTCCAAAATGTAAAGCAGAGTTACTTGGATCAAGACTGCAGCAGTGGAACTTGTTAGAAGACGATGTTTCGGTATGTGTTTTTCGTAAACGCCACAAAGACTTAGAACCATTTTTCAATATGGAGAATAACTTGGTTTTCTGCAGTAACATTAACGGCTTACAGGCGGCTTTAAATATAAACTATAACCCAGAAAAATGGAGATTGTTTATAGACAGTTCAACATTGAGTTTAAAGGCAGTGTTATTGCATAATGGAAATATTTTACCATCTCCTCCTGTAGGGTATGCAGTTCACATGAAAGAATCATATGACAATATGAAGTACCTATTTATTGACATGCATAAAATACGATGAGCACCAATGGCGTATTTGTGGCGATTTGAAAGTTGTTGCACTTTTACTTGGGCTGCAGCTAGGCTACACAAAGTTTTGCTGTTTTTTGTGTGAATGGGACAGTCGGGCAAAGGCACTTCATTACACCAGACAAAACCGGCCTGTTCGTCAATTCCTAGAGCCAGGTCAAAAAAATGTACAGCATATGCCATTAGTAGATTCGAAAAAAATTTTATTACCACCACTGCATATCAAGTTGGGCCTAATGAAAAACTTTGTCAAGGCATTAGATAGAAATGGGTCAGCTTTTCAATACCTGCGTCAGAAATTTCCAAGACTAAGTGAGGCAAAGGTTAAAGAAGGTATTTTTGTTGGGCCACAGATTCGAAATATTTTGAAAGATACACAGTTTGAAAACACTTTAACATGTATTGAAAAAACTGCTTGGAATGATTTCCGTCTGGTGGCCACTAATTTCTTGGGAAATAGAACAGCTGACAACTATAAAACCCTTGTCAGAAATATGCTGTCATCGTATCAAAATATGGGCTGTAATATGACTCTTGAGATACATTTCCTACACTCACACCTGGACTTTTTTCCTGACAATTGCGGAGCCGTAAGTGATGAGCACGGCGAACGTTTTCATCAGGATATTTCAACAATGGAAAAAAGGTACCAGCGAAAGTGGAATCCTTCCTTGCTTGCAGACTACTGTTGGACTCTTGGTAGAAATGCTACAGAAACGATCCATAAAAGAACAGCAAAAAGACAGCGCATATAGTGATTCTTATAAGTATATGAATCTTGTTACTTTTTTTAATATATCCTTAAAAATAAAAAGTTTTTTTCTAAACCGCAACTAATTTTTTTATTTCACTGTCATTTTTGGATTCAGCGCCCCAAAATTAACAAAGAAGTGCACTTTTCCCACAAGATACAATTAAAAAACTAAAATTTGTTGTCCAGTGTAATGTGCATACCATGATCTCGTTATATAATTCATTTGTTCGATCCAAAGTTGAATACTGCTCTATATAATATGGTATTCTGTTCATGAAATTCACTCCAATAAAACTGAACGTATTCAGAGGCGGTTTGTGAAATATTTGTGGCACAAGGAAGATGGTACGTGTCCAGAAGTTGGCTTCAGGCATGATGTATTACTTAGCAGATATAACCTCTGTAACTTGGAGAGGCGCAGAAACTACTCAGCTTGTGTATTTTTATATAAAATGCTTAGTAATGTCATTGTGAATATTTACTCGGTAAGATTCTTATTCATGTATACTTTATCTGAAGTCACTTGAAACACTGTGAAATACCGGGTGCGTTTTATATATATATATATATACGTAGTCGTGCCATAAGTTCTGTCCCATGATAATCTCATGATAAAAATGAAACAAGATAAGATATATTTATATGAAAGATATTATTTATTCGACAACATTTTTAGAATTCATAATCAAACAGTTTTATTCAAAATGTCCCCCCTTGGCCTTCACACACTGCTTCAATCTCGCGGGCCACTCATCTATCACTGCACGCACAGCTTCCAAAGGAATAGCTGCCGCTGATCGGATCAAATCCGCTTTCAGGGACTCGATATTACGGTGGGCTTTGGAGCAGGCCAACTGCTCTAGCAGGTCCCACAACTTGTAGTCTAAAGGATTGAGGTCCGGACTCCCTGAGGGCCAATCTTCCGCAGCAATGAACTCTGGCACATTGCTTTCCAGCCAGCGCTGCGTACTCTTAGCCTTGTGAGCGGGGGCGGAATCCTGCTGGTAGACCCAGTGTTGGTTGGCAAACAATGTACCACTTAAAGGCTTGACGATAGGATCCAGTATGTCGCTCTGATAGTTTGCCGCTTTTGTTTTCACGCCCTGTTTACAGAAATGGAGCTGAGTGACCCCTTCGTAGGACACCCCCCACCAAACCATGACTGACGCAGGGTGGTGGCCTCTCTCAACTCTCGGAATGATCTCCGAAGCTTCCTGTGAACTCCTTGCATACACTTTGTCATTTTGTCGGTTGAATTTTTCTTCTATGGTGAAGATTTTCTCATCCGTGAACAAAATCTTTCGGAATCCCCCAGCTGCGTACCTCTCCAAGAGCTTCTTGGATCTTGTCGCCCTGATGTGTCGCAAGGTGGCCGTAAGTCGCTGGCCCGTACGTCTCCGGTAAGCCCCTAGCCCTAGGTCTTGTTTAATGATGCGCGACATCGTCCGGACAGGAATCTTCAT